CATTCTGGTAAGCCAGTAGTTGAGAGTTTTGGCATACATTTAATCAAAGTTCCCTCCATAAAGAAGAGAGACCCAAGGAGGTTAAACAGGGCCTGTCTGATACAAAACAATGATTAAGGCAGCATAAAGCAAATTAAGAACGTGCTTTTAGGCCCTTCCTGCATTTCATAATCACACAAGCCCAATTGTAATAAAAATTTTGAGTGGATTATCCTTCACATGTTTTACTACTGTAGACTTGTTTTAGAAGCACCCATGGATTCTTGGTGTTGGATGTGGGATTAAATTGGCTCTTTTCTTTTTCCTATGTAATTTTTCGCGCCTGGGGACCCTTCCTGAGGCGGCAAAACCGCGGCAAAACCCGCAAGAAGCAAAGGCGCAGGAAATAGTGAACCTTCTTCAGTCAGAAGGTGGAAGTTGGGTAACCCTGCTGGGAAATGTTTAAACAATGCATGAAGGCAGTTGTGATTTATGTTACTTTTAGCTCTTGTTTATCTTCAGCAACTAGTAGTAAGGACCTCTTCCCTTAAAATAAAACAAGTCTCTCTTCCATTCTGGTAAGCCAGTAGTTGAGAGTTTTGGCATACATTTAATCAAAGTTCCCTCCATAAAGAAGAGAGACCCAAGGAGGTTAAACAGGGCCTGTCTGATACAAAACAATGATTAAGGCAGCATAAAGCAAATTAAGAACGTGCTTTTAGGCCCTTCCTGCATTTCATAATCACACAAGCCCAATTGTAATAAAAATTTTGAGTGGATTATCCTTCACATGTTTTACTACTGTAGACTTGTTTTAGAAGCACCCATGGATTCTTGGTGTTGGATGTGGGATTAAATTGGCTCTTTTCTTTTTCCTATGTAATTTTTAGGTAGTGTAGTCCCATCAGTAAACTATACCATTCATGATACATGATTCTCAACTACTGCTCTGGTAATTTTTTTCTTTTCTGTAATAGCGGTTCATATTCAAGAAATTAACTTAAGACACCAGTGTAGCAAAGCTCAGTTTTATAGTTTAACATTTAAGCAATCAAAAAGACGTTAAGCCTGATAATGCAGATCCAACAGAGTACTGAAGGAAGCAATGGCTGTGGATGTTCCAGGGAACAAGTTGCACCATATGTTTCAAAACCCTGCTGGTTTTATTTATTGATTTGTTTTCAAAAGTCCCCAGTAGTTTTTGCAGAAATTCTGCTTGTCTCATCAGCAGACGTAAAGCCCCATGCTGGAGAGTGCAAACAGGACTGACATGAAACTTACACGAATTGCACAGATTTCAGTGTCTTTTGTAATAAGTTCATTTTTTTAAGCCTTGGGTCTTGCAAAGCTGAGCTGAGACTTTAGATAAATTCTCAAATACCTTGCAAGTCTTGTTCATGACCTCACCTAAGTACAGCAAAGGCCATTCTTGTTATAAGATAAATACTGAAGAGCAATACTTAAATGCTTTGTATTCATTGCTGATTAAAAATGAAAGCCAAAAATGGGAATCTACGCGTATTTTTGCATTTATGTGTGTGTACCTGCTCTACTTTGTCCACATGGACGTGGCAAACCTGTTTACTTCTTTCCCTTTCATGGCTGTCTATTATGTAGCTGTAGACACATATACCTGTCCTTAGCATGTTTTTTCTTGCCTAAGCCATCCCAGTTCTGCAGTCTTTTGAGGCCACATTTTCTTCACTTCTGATCATGGTTGTTGCTGTGGTTTTGAGGTTCTCCGGTTGGTCCCCATCTTCGCTGAGCTGTAGCTACCCGAACCAAACAGAGTCCTTGGCTGAGGCCTTTCTGGTGGTGAATAGCATGAAGACTTCATGTGTCTTGCAGAGGATAACGCTATGTTGTGCCTCCTAGTGTGGTGGTTGCCTTCGTACCACGGCAGGACACTTCTGCGCTCCCCGCTCCCGTCTCTCACCTCGCTGCCTTGCCCTGGCCCTGGGCTAGGGACACTGGTGGTGTTGGTCCCCAGGCTGGAGGGCAAGAGGTGGTGGATGTTGGAGACTAAATCCCCTCTGTAGCCGTGGGATGCAAATCCTGGCGTGCGGAGCACAGCCCACCTCAGTGGCGTGGATGAGGAGAAGGTGAAGTTGCCATCCGCCCACATGGAGGGATGTCTGCAGCAAACGTCTGCTGTGAGATTTGCAACCATCTCTGTGTGTATGTAAGGAGGACCTTGTGAAGATGCATATTAAGCCAATTATATATTTGCTAAGGCAAATTACAAAGCTTTGGAGTTTTTTTTCCGAATAAGAAACAAAAAGGCAGGATGGTTTTGACATGTATTTATTAGATGACTACAGGAAAACTCTGCTGCATCAACTGCCAGGAGGTAGAAAATACTGAGGTGCTCATGTTTAACTGTATTTAAATGCACCACGGCCCTTACCTCACCAGACATTGGCTGTATGGGCTTGGTGGGAGTTAGTATGGAGATTGGCAGTGCTAAGACTTTGCCTTCAGATGTACTACTGAGCAATTTGGTACAAGGTAAGACAAGAGACACTAGCTTTAAAATGTGTATGCTGAACACAAGTAATTTCACAACAGCTCTAGCTGAAGTGTCAGTAAGGTGCCTTCCATCTTATGGAGCCCGTGGGCTGGGGAGCCCTGGCACAGGGACATCCCTCTGTTCTGGTCCTGGGAACTAGTGGCATCAGGCATCTGCAGAAGCAATTGATCAGAGTCAATCTGCAGGAGTAATGGGTCAATCTAAGAGTTGAATAGTGATCAGCATTTGTTACCTCTGGGTGATTTGTGTATTTAAAAAAAACAAGTGAATCACTTGGGTTTCTAAGGGTATGCTGTCAGACAGCCACTTCTCCAGGGTGGCAACAAGGCAGACACCTCCCAGCCTACCTTCCCGAGCAAACTGCTTACAGCACCACATGGGCTGTGGTGATGATGGCAAGCAGCGTCTTTCCAAGTCAAGGTGACTTGCTAGGACAAGTACGTAGTTACAAGACAAGTTCAAGAGGAAGCCAGGAAGGAAAGTCAGCGAGGCAAAATCAGGATCAGTAGGTTACAAAGCCAGGTGCAGGCAGACTTCCAGCGCAGCACGGATGAGGACCTAGGGCAAGGTTGTGAGCTTAAATGCAGCTCCTGAACCAGCAGGCAGAAAGTGCATGGGAGGGGAGAACAGATGAGGCTCCTCATAGCGTGGTATCAGAGCTGACCTTCAATGCAGGCAGCCAGACCTCTGGGAGAGAGGGGGAAGAGGCTGCAGAGCCCGTCACCGCAGTCAGGGCCCAGACAGCATGATCACCCCAAAGCTGGCTCATTTCCAGGCTGAGCAGACCCAGCTCCTCAGTGCCTCTTTGTGTGTCCTGTGCTCCAACCCTTGAACATCTTGGTGGCCTCTGCTGAACTCACTCCAGTGTTTCAGTGTCCCTCTTGTAGCAGGGAGCCCCAAACTAGATACAGAGCTCCAGGTGTGGTCTCACAAGCATGAAAGAGAGGGAAATGATCGCTTCACTCCCTGCTAGCTAGGATTTTGCTAATGCAGCTCAGGGTGCTCTTAGTCTACATCTCCATGAGGGCCCATGGTGTCCAGCAGGACCTCCCAGGTCCCTTTTTGCACAGCTTACTTTCCAGACAGTTGGCCCCAGCCCATACGGGCGCATGGGGTTATTCTGTCCCAGGTACAGGGCTTTGCCTTTGTCTTGATCGTCACGGGGTTGCTGTCAGCCCATTTCTCCAGCCTCTCCAGGACCCCACATTTGCTATCAGCTGTGAACTTGCTGGGAGCGCTCTCTGTCCCTAGTCTGAATTGCTGCTGAAGACACAAAGCAGTACTGGTTGCAGGATCCATCCCCGGGAGATGCCACTAGAAACTGGCCACCAGCTGGACCCTGTGACACTGACCACCAGGCTTTGAGCCTGGCAACTTCCTAGCCAATTTTCTACCTGCCTATCCAGTCCATGTCTCACCAGTCTGGCTATAAGGATACTACAGCAGGCTGGGGCAAAGACCTTGCTAGGTCAAGGTATACCATACCCACTCCTCTCCCCTTTTCCGTAAAGCCGGTCATCTCATCGTGGGAGGCAAACAGGTTGGCTGGGCACTATTTACCCTGCTTAAATCCATGCTGGATGTTTGCAGCATAGTCTCTGATTGCTCCTGGAAGGACGTGTGTCATAACTCTGTGCACTGTTAACGGCTTTGGATTGCATCTTCGTATCCATTTAAGATGCTTGCAGCCAGTGGTTTTTCTAATCATTTTGACATACGGTTATTCCCAGTCCCAGAAGGTGTGCTCATCATGGAAGAATAAAGGAAGTTCCCTCAGCATGCAAGTGGATGCTGGTGGGAAAGGCACAGCTTGCACTACTTGCTGCCAGACCAAACCCAACTCTTCCTTTGGCCCTGGAGAATGAGTGTCACTCAGTCCTGCAGGCATCTACCCCTCTCCTTTTGTTGCCTTTCTACTCTCCCACCCCCAAAATAGTTCAATTCCAGGTCTAGAAGGAATAGGAGCACCAAAATATGCTGAACTCAACGACTGCTGTTTTCCCGAGTGTCACTCTTCTACAAGCCGCAGAGGGGGAAAAGAATTTTATGATGCGCAAATATGTATTTCATCCTGTTCCCTTCTCAGTTTCTCCATCTGCCTAAAATTAACATCATGCTTATCCAAACTTTGCTAACACACATGACAAGATGAGTACATTGGAGTCCTGCTTTGCTTGCTAATAACACTTTTATTTGATTTCTGTTTGCTTATTTCTGTATGACTGAAAACATCCATCTCTACTCTATGCATTTATATGAAAAATTAGCATTCAGAAAAAAATTACTACTCCACAGCATAATGTAAATATCAAGCAGCTTTGAAAAAATATATCATTAAGCTAATACCCAAGGAAGCATTTTGCCTTTTGATTTCTTAAGGGAATGACAGCTTTTGGCGGAAATGTGTTTTAAGATCTGGAAGGCAGCAAATTATCAATACCAAAACAAGATAGTCCTCATAACTCAGGGAAACATGTAGATAGCAGAAAAAAATATTAAGATTTTGGTAATATTCCCTTTGTAAAATCCAAACCGTATTGCTTGTAAAGAAACTACATGACTGGTGTCTTACTGAATATTGTTTTAAAAATTGAGGGCTTTAGTCTGCACATTCTTATTCATGTAAATAATTCCTGATTTACATTTACAGATACATTTGCATCTGTATGGGTTTGCAGGGTACAGCTGCTCTGTGTCTTGGCTCCCTCAGGGGTGTCATGCAGGTGATGGTAAGGAAGTTACACGGTAGAGATTCCCGAGTCTAGTATCCGTGTCTCTTGTAATACTGGGCTCGTGCAACCACGTCGTTGGAGTAGTCATTGTGGGTGGTGCCAATGTCCATTCTGTCATAGCTTCGGACGTTATTAGGACCAGCATTGTAGGCAGAAATCCCACCTGAAATGAAACACCAGAAGAAGTCATACAGACTTAAAAAAAAATTAGGGAAAATTCCAGCCTGATATGTTCTGCTTTTACTGGTTTTGAAAGCTTTCACTTATGGGGACTTCGGAAGGGGAGTAGGCGGCATTATCAGAGCTTCTCTGACTTAAGTGGGGCTCTGCAAACAGCTTACAGTTATTCCTGAATCCACCAAAACATCAGAAAGATACCTGAGGTTTTGTGTTCACAGACATTTGCAGCTTGATGAACTTGCACCATATACCTGGTCCAGCATAAACCCTTCATTTACACTGGGCTTGTCTGGGCTTGTTCATATCATATCATATCATATCATATCATACCATATCCAACATCCTTGTAACTTCTCACTCATCCTTGAAAATCACTGCTCTTAAAAGAGAGCTAAAGCACACTCATACATTGCATTATCTTTGTCTCACAGCTGCGTATATGCTACTCCATATGCTGTGTTGGAAAGCAGAGGTATCTGAGGTGGCTGTGAAATGAGCCCTCCTTGGCACCCCAGCAGTCCAAGGGGGTTGTGGGGTGCAGCCTGCTTTGAAGCAGGCAGCTTTTCCACATTGCGTGGCACAGTTTTGCAATTCCCTGAGAGCAAACACCTTGTCTCCTCTGTCAACAGAGACACAGAGTGAACTGCTGGCCCCATTCAAGTAAACCACGGAGCGCTTTGTTAACCTGAATCGCTGTAGGAGACTCCTCATGGTCAGATAAAGAAAGCTCTTGTATAGACTAGATTTCAGGTGTATAAATATTTGCTGCACGGTGCAGGAAACTCAGTGAGGCTGCCATACTAAGGAAAGGCAGAAACTACACAGAATTGACAAAGCTTGTCTTTTCTCGGTGAAATAAAAAAAGGGGCGAAAAGCTAAGCGACAGCCTTTTAGAAACGTGGTTACTGAGGAACACGGGAACTAATTCAGTATGTTCTTGTCCTAAAGTTTTTCTTCTCCCCTGGACAAAACCTGTGGCCTGTACCTTACCTTTCAGCTGTTGATCCTTTGTCCAGCGTGGGAACTTCCTCTGTATTGTCTTTATCATGTTGACAAGTATGTTTGTGCCCTGGTTAATATGAATTTCGCTATTCCATTTTCCCACAGGTTTATGTGAGTTTTTGTCAACCTAGAAATATCAAAACAACAAAAAGAAGTAATTTCCCTGCTGTAATGGGTGATATGTTTAGGAAGCTTACTTTTATTTATACGCTATTTGTTTCTCAGGTTTTAGTGGAGTATCAGCAAATACCTGCATTAAACCAAACCCATTTCCATTGTCGCCCCAGCCATTCTTCAGTATTTTGCCAGCATGAGATTCCCGGGAGATGATGCCAGCGATCAGGGCTGGTTCGATGCACAGTTTTTCGCCAACTCTCTTAATGAGTGCTTTGTATTGATTCATAGCTCTTAGGTCCCCTTCAGCGATCTTTTCTGAAGCCCTAACTCCTGTAATTAAAATCAAAAGTAAAGATATTTGCTTAATAACTTTTAAAACTCAGAATTGTCTCTCACCTCTCTCCTTCTAATACAGACAGAATTACAACAAAATTTTGTTTGCCTCGCCTCTGGGAGGAGGTAGATGATCACCTACAGGGATATTATGCAGGCTCAGCAGCTAGTGTGTGTTCAGCACTTTGGAAATATGAAGGATTTGGGATTATTGTGCCACAGAGAAATGTAGCCGTATGGCAGAAGAGGGATACTCACCGCAGTAGCGTAAACCTTCTGGCTTTGCAGTTTGGCATGAAGCCCCAGAGGTTTTAATTCTGTTTACACTGCCGTAGCAATCCGTGCGGCCCTGGGAGGCACCTGCAGAGGCGACACGGAAAGGCTCAAGCAGTAAAAACCTTTTGTGACTGCAAGTAAAACCCAAGGGGAAGCTGCACCCCGGAGAGGACGGGCTGCGGGCTGCGGGAGCTGCACGGGGCTGCCTCTGTCGCTCCTTGTGATGGAGAGGAGGCGAGGTCCTGCCCTGCATCCTGCACCCTGCACCCTTTACCCTGAGCCCACCCGTCTCTCAGAGGCCACCCCTCCTTCTGCAAGAGTCGCAAGGGGACCCGAGCACTCTCTCCTCCGATAGAGTCTAGCGGCAATCGAGATTTTGGGGAGGGGGGTGAGGAGGTGCATCAATGTCTCCTGCTTCCCGGCTGTGGGGCATGTGTCCCCCACTGCTTGGGGCGAGGCAGCAAGGGACGCCAGACTTACCCAGGAGGGCAGCAAGGCCCAGCAGCACGAGCATCGGGTACATGGGGTGGTTCCTCCTGAGCACACCGAACAGTCTGAAAATCAATCAGTCAGCATCAGCACACATGAAGACATGAATATATCTCACTACTTGCCAAATAAACACAAAGAAACTCTTTCTGAGCTGATGTGGTATTTCTCTTGGTTGGGTAGGCAAAGCAATACACAAATGGAGTTACGCCTCTTTTTATAAGAGACCTCAATGGCAGCTCTCCTGCTCCGGCACAAACCAGGCTGCAGCCATTCACAAGAGACTTGTAACCTCTCACTTCTGCTGCCTTCAAACCTGTGTCTTCTACGACATCTTGGTAACTTCCTCTAAATCTCAAACCCCAATATTTAATTCAGAAAAAATAAAATTAGTAATGTTCAGTGCCCTGTCCTGCTGCGCTCCCACCATGAACGTCCTTATTCCCTGCCCGTATTCTGCATAGAAATCACCTTCACCACACCTGGACAGCTTTGCCTGAATCTCCTGAGACTTTATACTCGGAAATTGGCACTTTCAAGATGCACGCTGTCTAAATTATTGTGGCTATCTACTTTAGGGTGAGTTGTACTCTGGGAGCACCCATTTCCCCTCACTGGCTGTGAGGGGAGCCTAGGGAGATAGGCTCATTTATGGATGAGAGCCATCTAAATTTAGGTGACTTATATTCAGAACTACAGGACAAATCTTGGTATCCTTATTCAAACAGAAATCTCACACAGCAAAAAGCTGCAGCCCCTGGGCTGCTGAAGAGGTGGTATTGCTGAAGGGAATGAGAAGAGTTCCCGCCCTGAGGGGTAATATCTTACCTACTTGTCCGCAGCTCAGCTTCTGGCACAGGACTGTGGTTTGGGGAAGTTTTATACTACCTACTGTTCGGTGGTAATCTGACACTGTGATGAAAGGTATTGGGTTGTGGTTTTGTGAGACTTAACAGCATTTATTTCTCATGTAAACAGAACCTGTTGCACTATTTACATGGGCGTGACGGCACGTAAGTTCTCAGGAGTGGCATTTCCCAGATTTCTAAAGGAAAAAACACCATCCAATTTTCCTCTGGGCATCTATCCATCTACATCTTATATTTCACACCCTATTGTGTGAGGTGTGGTGAGGGCCGAGCTAAAAACCCAGCATCCAGCTGTTCTGCAGGTGTTTGCCCCAGTCCCATCCCAGTATCCCGAGGGCTGGGACTGACCCTGGGCTGTCAGCTACGTGGCACAGAGGGGCATGCAGCCCTACTGCCTGGGTTAGCACTCTCCTGAGAGACTGGCCGTGTCCACGCTGGTGGCCCATCTCCCCCTGCCTGGGTGGGTGCTCCCATGACATTGTGCTCTGCTGACATCGCTTGTCAGCAGAAAAAAATAATGATGCCTTGTTGTTTCAGCTTTTTTTTTTTCATAGTAGTTTCTAACGAGACCAACACATCTCTGAAATGATTCAGACAACCCTTTGCCTCAACATTTCTCTCTGCTGTGAGGGGGAGAGGTTTCTGGCATATGCCTGCTTGTGAGTAGAGGGACTGTAATGAGCCAGGCATTTCCAATCACCAAAACTGCATTTGCCACCTGGGGACAGACACCAATGCTGAGGATACCGGTGTCACGTTAGTGAGGAGTTATTTGCCTGCAGTTGCTCAAGTCAGAGGGTCCTGGAGCCCCTTGCCTCTGTCCACCAAGCTCCTTGCCTGCCCTTGAGAGACCTTTCCCTCCCTCCACTCCCCAGCCACATTTCTGCACACTCACAACCCTTTCCCCTCCACTTCACATGCCAAAAATACCACAGGGGGGAAAAGTATTGCCCGCTGTGGGTGGGGGAGTTTGGCTGGTGTCTTTGGAGGCTGTGGTCAGTCTCAACAGGGTGTATAGGGGGCAGAAAGCAAAGCACAGGAGAGCTTGTTGGGCACAGCTTTATTAGTGGTGGGACTGACTTGTTCTGCTGATGTCCCTCTTTGCAAGCCCCCATTCCCTTTGATGGTTTGGATGCATGGGATCTTGTCCCACCTCCGACAGCGTCTTTGCAAGATGGAGCCGCTGCACAAGGCTGGTTGTGATGAAAGGAGTGGCACGCCGCTCTCCAAGGTTTACCTTCATTATTTAATAACTGGGCAGAGGAGTGCCTTGTGGACGTGGCAAGTTTTCCCAAGAAGATTGTCACAGAAGGAGAAGCTGATAATGAATAATGGAATGGGGATTTCCCCCCATTTTTAGTTGGAGCAAGGCAAATAACACTGAGTTGGTTATTAACCTGTTGCTGTGATCACAGGACTAGCTGAACCTCTCTCTGTGCCCTCTCTCTGTCTTCTCTGAGGTCTCCCTGAGGCCCCATGATTTCACTTCTCCCACGGGGCTCATGGTCCCGTGGTGGGACCGCAGTGCTGGCTTTCCCAGCTGCTCTGCTCCCCTCTGCCCCTGCATTTTATTCTCCCCGGTAGTCTGCAGTTGGAGGAATCAGGTGGCCCAAAACAACCTTCTTAAAATGTTGCTTCTTTACCTCTAAAAGCAAAGCCCAGCTTTGTGGGGGGATGGGCTACAGATGCCAAAGTGCCACTTAATATGCTAGGTGAGCTGTTTCAGTCCAGGACCATTACACCTGAGGTGTTGGCATCACTGTTTTGCTGACTGTCCCTTGTCCAGCCCTTGAATGACTGATGCCTAAACCATGTTGGTGCTCCTACAACCGACACGGGGAGCTCCTCTGTGCGGCAAGCTGTGCAGCATCCGTGCGAGCGGCTCCTTCATTGTCTCTCATCATGTGTGCCAGGAAGATTACATCTACATTTTCCATTGTCCCCTCTGGCTGCATCTTCACAGAGCCACAGAAGCACAGAGTGACCAAGGCTGGAGAGGACCTCGGGAGGTCTCTAGTCCAACCCCTTGCCCAAAGCAGTACCAACTTTGAAGCTAGATCAGGTTTCTCAGGGCCTTGCACTGTCAAGTTTTGAACACCTCTGAGGATGGAGATTTCCCAGCCTCTCTGTGCAACCTGGTACAGTGCTTAACCACCAACCGTTTTTTGTGAAAAACTCCTTTTCTTTTATCAAGTCCAAATTTGCCTTGTTGCAACATGTGACTGTTGCCTCTGACCCTCTTGCTGTGCACCTTTGAGAAAAGTATGACTCCATCTTCTCTATAAGCTCCACATAGGTATCTGGAAATGTCTCCCAAAAGCCTTGTCTTCTCCAGGCTGAGCAGACCTAGTTCCCTCAGCCTCTGCTTGTTTAACTTGTGCTCTAGCTTGGTGGCTTGCACTGGTGTACAGCACATCAGGATCCATTTTATACTGAGGAGCCCAAAACTCAGCACAAGTGCCAAGTAGATGGGAGGGTTCATTTCCCTGGACCTGCTGGTGATGCTTTTCCTAATGCAGCCCAGGAGGCTGTTGGCCACCTTTGCTGCAAGGGTGTGTTACCCACTCGTGGTCAACTTGTTGTCCGCCAGGACCCCCAGGGCTTTCTCTGCAGAGCTGCTTTCAAACTGGCTGTTCTCCAGCATGTACTGGTTCCCGGGGCTTTTCCGTCCCAGGTGCGGGACTTGGCAGCGCCTGCAGTTGGATTTTATGAGATTCCTGTCCAGCCTGTCCTCTGACCAGCAGTCCTGTCCCACCAAGCACCTGTGAACTTGCTGGGAGTGCTCTCTGTCCCACATTGGTACTGAGGACACTGAACAGTACTAGCTGCAGGATAAGTCCTCAAGGGCAGCTCGCGGGGTGAAGGCACGAGAGAGTCTCAGGTCAGCTTGTGTCCTCACTGTGTGGGTTTTTTCATGCTCTCAAACATTTCTCCTCTATTGCTAACTAGCTTAATAAGGGTAGGGTAAGAAATGAGTGATCCTAGTTATGTCTTCAGGGGAGAAACTAGGCTGATGTATGCTTCCCAAAGCAATTAAGCCCATTTAAGCTGTGGGAGATTACTCAGCCTGTGGCAGGGAGGCAGGATGCTCTGGGTGCCGGGACCTCCCGCACTGGGGGCAGGTCCCTTGTCCTGAGGCGGCACCGTGAGCTCATGGGGAAATGCAGGGGCTTGTGGATGGTTGAGGCATGTGAGGAACTGGCGAAACTTCATGGACAAGAGGAGCAGCCTAGAAGGGTGTCCTAGGTTTAAAAAACGAAACGTGCACCCAAGCTGTAACGCAGCCAGGCTGTGTGACTGGGAATTAAAGAGCTTGTAGAGGAGCATTTCCACTAGAAGCAGGGGAAAGCTGATAGATGCAGAGGACTACCCGATTTGGACTGATGTGATCTACAAGGTGGACATGGCTGACATTCAGTTTACCTCTGAAAAAAACAGGAGGGAAATAAACAGCACGATCACAATAAATGAGAAAGACAAAATAGACAGAATACAGTGGCACATGCTATATTAAACAATGAAGCGAGGGCAAACTTAAAAGTGCTTCTGTACGATTGCTAGAGGCTTCAAAAACAAGCCAGGAGAACCCAAATGCCTGGTGCCAAATGACAACCCTGAGATAGCAGGCATCTCAGAGGCTTGATGGAGGCTAGAAAACCCCAGAGATACAGCACTGCCAGCCTTATGGGAATGACAGAGTAGGATGTAGAGGTGGAGGAGTGATGCTGTATGTGAAAGATAAAAATGTAACAGCATAAAAATATTACAGGAAAAGAGAAGCACCCTAAAAACCTGTGGGTGGAAATCCCAGTCGCTACCGATAAAAACGCTGTAGTAGGACCGTACTATTGATCCTTTATGAGGACAATGAGAGTGGTCAGTGAGACCAGAAAAGCAGTAAATACAGGATGGTGGTACGAGTGGGAGCCTGCGTATAGGCTGGATCAATGCCTCGTCAGGATGAGATACAGAAGCAGAATTTTTGGTTGCAATAAATCCCTGCTTCCAGGAAAAGCTGGTCCGGGAACCCACAGAAACAAATGCTAGAGAGTGGTACAAGGGCTTCATTTGAGGGGTGTTAGTGGGAAACTGCTCTGAGGTGGCAATCCCACAACATGATCATTTTTAACACTGAAATGGGAAAAAGCAGGCCATGTGCATCCAGTATGGGAGTATTCGGTTTCAAGGCAGGCAATTAAATAAACTGAGGCAAGCATTAGAAAAAAAGGAGTAGCCCCAAACTGAAGAAGCCTGCAAGCATCCTGGAGGCTGTTCAGAAATACCATGTTAGAAGCCCACACTAAAAGGATGTCACAACTCAAGAAGAAAAACCAAATGCTGCCCCCTCAAAGGAAAAGTTAAGGTAACTGCCATAGGGAAAAGGCTGCTATGCAGGAAATGGAAAATTTGTCCATGTGAGAATTGGCAGTAAATTGACATAAAACACAGGAGGTCACATGTAAACAAGGAAAAGGACTGAAAAAGGGTTTGGAGAGTGCCTTGCAAGGGATGCTCAAACTGCTAGCAAAAGGTCTTCAAATACATCAAAAGCAGCTAGGGGAAGATCAGGGCTGCTTGGTAAAAAAGATGTGAAAGGGACACTCAGGGGTGACAAAGCCATAGTAGTCCTTTGTAGCCTTTGTGCCAGTCTTTACTGTGGAGGCTGTGGGGAGGTTCCCACTCTCGGAGAGTTGATAGGAACCAGAGTAATTCAGTATAAATAGTAAGTAAGTACTGGAGCAAGCAGAAAGCCTCCCTGTCAGTGAGTCTGCCCCGGCTGGGACGGCTGGGGACACTGAGCTGTGCCACAGCAGAGCAGGCAGCCCGGGCAAGGGCTCTGCTGCCAGGCTGCTTCAGGGGAGGGCTGCGGCGGGGGCCTGCCGGTGGGCGGCCGGTGTCACCCGTGATTGCAGCACCGGCTCCAGAGGGGTCCTTGGGACCACAGACTGGTGCCCGTCCGGGGCAATATAGGAGAGTGTA